GTGTGTGTGTGTGTGTGTGTGTGTGTGTGTGTGTGTGTGTGTGTCTCCTTCCAGACTGAAAGGAGACAGGCCCATCCAGTGTGGAGACTATGATGGACTTTTGGAGTTGGCCACTGTGTGTGCTATGTGCAATGACTCTTCACTGGACTACAATGAGGTCATTAACACACACACACACACAGATGTACTTCTATCTTTGTGAGGACCCTAAATGACATGCCTGACCCCGGTCCTTAATCCAACACTAACCTCAACCTTAGTTTAACCTCGACCTTAAAACCAAGTCTTATTCCTCAGACCTTTGAAGAAGTGAAAATGTCCTCTTTCCAAAAATCGGTCTCACTATGTAGTAAGCACAAGACACACACACATAATTGTATCGGTATAATTTGTTTCCTCTATTCCTGACGTAATTTTAAGTTTCTATGCAAATCCAACCCATCTGTGACACACACAGTATTGTGTTTCTGTGCAAATGCCCTCATGCATTGACAGTATATAGACACACACACACACGCTGCAACAACTCCATAAACGGTAGAAATGGAATACACACGCATTACTAAAAGTAATTCTCTTCTCTCCTTCAGCCGAGCTAATTTTACTCAGACGTATGATCTTTCTCTCTGGTTTGGATTGCTTTTCTCACCTCTTTGTCATTACCATGATATCATGGTAACCACGCTGAGAAGCAAGGCCAGCGATGAGGCACTTTTCAACTCGCATGCATCCTCCCAGACTAACTATATCTGTTCTCGTAACCAGTCATTTTGCCATTTGTTTTGTATGGTTTGTTTTTTGAATAAAGGCCCCGTGGAGCGATAGATCAAAGTGTGCTCAACCAGGAGAGAGAGGGGAGCTAGGTGTTTTATTGCAGAGTCACACCAACAAATGATGTATGGTACGCCATTACTGGTCCACTTTGCATGTATGAAGTTTGCAGAGGTGAATGACCTGAAGATTCACTCTCAGCATGTTTGTTTAGACTTGCTTCTTCAAGAGGGTTGTTCACATTTACCAATGGAGGCTGTTTCTCCTCATGATTGATCTAAAATGTGTCATAAAGGGGTCTGACATCTATAAACAGCATGTGTTGATGCATTTCTGTTCTCTCGTAGGCCAAAGGGGTTTATGAAAAGGTGGGGGAAGCCACAGAGACGGCTCTCACAACCTTGGTGGAGAAGATGAACGTCTTCAAGACTGACCTGTCCGGGCTCAGCAAGGTGGAACGCGCCGGTGCCTGTAACTCGGTAAGCTTCGTGTGGAGATGTGCGTGTGACCTCGCAGTGTGATGCTTGTCTGTGTTAAAAAGGAACTCTAGGGGCGCCCCCATTAACGCACCTGGTAGACGCCACACCATGTACTAAGGCTGAGTCCTTAACGCAGGCCCGGATTAGAATCCGACCCACTACAACTCAAGTTGTATTATGGGTAATGTAGGCGCCAAGTTTTGACAAGAAAAAAAAATGTGTAGAATAAACGAGACAATATCTCTGGTTCTGCATCAATTTTGCTCAAACTTTCTTGCCGGTGTTTTAGGAGTGCGACGCTAACTCTGGAGTCGTCGTTTAATGTCCGATCAATGCTTCATGAGGTGTTACAACTATCTGATCAGTACAGTACTCATCTTCATCCATTCATCTACAGTGAGCATGTTGTTTGCTTCAATGTAGTCTCGCATAGCTAGCTCGCTAGCTCCGACTAACTCGCTATCTCAGATAGCGGAAGGGGGAGGAGAATACCGTGTGAGATCCGCAGCCAATGGCAGGCCCACACCCACAGGCAGCATCCGATGAGTCAGACCAGCTTCAACTTGTGAGAGAGACTGTAATTGCTCTGCTCATTATGCCATACAGTACACTGCCTGGTTGTGGGGATGACATAATGACCTAGCGTGCCCCCTGGTTATAATAATTTGTTCCAGATTATTTAAGCATTGTTTTATTTATAATGACTTGCAATGAGTCAACTAGCTCAGGGTTCCAGTGTCTTTAGTCGAGGGCTGTTTAATCAAGGTTGTTGATCGGCACATGTTTGACATCAGGGAGTGAACCTGTGAGTGTTTGCTTAGGAGTTAAAATAGTCAAAATGTAGTTTACAACAGATCCAAAGACAGAAGGCCTTCCCGTGCATTGCTTTGAGGTACATTTTGCACAAAGCTAGAGAGGAGAGGTTTGTCACATTGACAGATTTCCGTGCGTCCGTCAGTCACATGTTTGAAGTCTGACAGAGCGTGTGTGCATCTCAGTCATGGTGTTAACCTTTCAGCCTTTTAATGTGTAGTGGGATCAGCACAGACTGTGAACTAGAGAGACATCTACTGGTGGAACAGAACGTGACATTAAACGCAGATGATGCAGTATGTCATGAATATGTTTCTAGGCTGAGTTTTGAGTTCCTTCCAGTTAGCTTCTTGCTATTATTTTCTACATACTTCCAGCTGTTGTCGCTAGCCGTCCTCGGCCAGGTCTACATTATCACCATGTGCTGTTGTACAGAGACATCTGAGGCGGCAGCCAGACATCCAGACAAGGTGGTTGAGTGCTTGGTCTAAAGTGTTATCCTTCAGCTGTCAGTAGTTCAGCCAAACCTCTCAGTCAGCCACTGGCTGCCGGCCTGACAGCTGCCCACGAATACAGCTACTTAGCTCAAGCTCTGCCTTTTAGTCACTTTTTTTCTTCTCATTTCTACTCTTTTCTGAATCTTTTTTTTTTTTTTTCATCCATCAGGTGATCAAGCAGTTGATGAAGAAAGAGTTCACCCTGGAGTTCTCCCGTGACCGCAAGTCCATGTCTGTCTACTGCACCCCCGTCAAGCCGGGCTCCCAGAGCAAGATGTTCATCAAGGCAAGAATGAATGACATGATCACACACACGCACACACAGAGACGTGCTTCTCATCGCTTCCACTCGTCGGCGTCGCTGCTTGACGTTCTTCTCTTGTGTCAATGTGGTTCCTCCTCACAGGGCGCTCCAGAGAGTGTGATCGAGCGATGTCGGTACCTGCGGGTGGGAACAGGGAAGGTGATGCTGACGCCAGCCATGCGCGACCAGCTGCTGTCCAAGATCAGGGACTATGGGACGGGCAGAGACACCCTGCGCTGCCTGGCCCTGGCCACTCACGACATCCCGCTGCGCAAAGAGGATATGGACTTGGAGAATTCAAACAAGTTTGTAGAGTATGAGGTAAAGCAGATGTTTGTCTCAGGGATCCAATTTGTTCTAATAAGCTCTTATTAAAGTCATATGGAGTAAAACACACAACACACTGGATTTAAAAAACATTGTTAAATGTAATTTTGCATGAGGTTTCCTTACTTCTGCAACAGAACTGATAGGTTTCACTTGGGCTCCGTGTTAATTAGCGAGCTTTAGAGGTGCTGGTAGGCCGTTTCCCCGTGTTTCCAGTCTTTATGCTAAACTAAGCTAACCGTCGTCTGGCTGGAGCTTCACATTTAACAGACAGACGTGAGAGTCGTATTGATCTAACTCTCAGCTAGATGTCAAACTGTTCCTTTAAAGTCATCTTTGCTACTGTCTGTCTTTCGTTTAAATCACAGCAGTGATTTAAATCTCTATCCACTGAAAGCATAAAGCTTTTACACTTGGTTCTTCTTCCCTGATACGATAGAAACTAATCCGTTTGATGTTTTCTGCAGCAATACAAATAAAAAGAGGTGAATTCCATTTCCGTGGGACTGAGGGGAGATTCTGTTTTCAGATATCGTCACGTGCGACCTAATCCCCCTCTCCCTTTACTTTTCTCTCTCTGTTTACGATCAGTTGGGTCTCACGTTTGTCGGCTGCGTGGGCATGCTGGACCCGCCCAGGAAGGAGGTGAACGGCGCGATAAAGCTCTGCAACGAGGCGGGCATACGCGTCATCATGATCACGGGGGACAACAAGGGCACGGCCGTGGCCATCTGCAGACGAATTGGCATCTTCGGCGAGGACGAGGAGGTTACGGGGAAGGCCTACACGGGCCGCGAGTTCGACGACCTCCCGCTGGAGGCCCAGAGAGAGGCCGTCAAACTGGCGCGATGCTTCGCCCGCGTCGAGCCGGCCCACAAGACTAAGATCGTCGGATACCTGCAGGCGTTCGATGAGATTACTGCCATGGTGAGGAGAAGGCGCCACTTCCTGCACTGCCACACACCACCTTTCAACTTTTCTCTGCTTCCTACAAATCCACACATTGTATATTTCCTTTGTGACATGTTTCTCATTCTTTCATCTGTGTGTTATGTGAATGACTTGTGGAGAAATGCATTAGAGGAGGCCGGTGAGGCGTGACGTGTTTCAGGTGTCTGCGAGGCTGCTCTCTGACACTGCTATCAAAAGCTGTCATCTCGGGCACGCTCTGCTGCTTCCTATCTGACACACGTCTCAGAAGAGGGGTTGATCCGAGGGAAAGATGGGAGGGAGGGAGGCTGCAATATCACCATTTGCCTGTCAGAGTAACCGGAGCAGTCGAGAGCCCCTCCAGGCCCTGCTGTGACAGATTGATACACTTGCTCCGCTTTTGCTTTACCCTGTCTGGATCTGAAATGATAATGAGACTTTGCACAGTGAGATAGTAGTTTGCTTTCAGTCATCGTTAGTTTGTTCAACTAATCTCTGTTTTAAAGAATAATCTCGCTAAATTTATAATGTGGACTCAATATCAAGCTGAAGCAGTTTAGTTTACTTGAACTTTTATCCTTCGAAGAGGTGTCTTCAGCTTTTTGCTCCCCGAGAATATTCTCTTATTGTTAAAGTAACTAGGAATTTTACAACAATGCTGTGAGTCGGGTTTTCCGATGAATCTATGACAGAGGCATTTCTTTCTCGCCGCAGACGGGAGATGGTGTGAACGACGCCCCGGCCCTGAAGAAAGCGGAGATCGGCATCGCCATGGGCTCCGGCACAGCGGTGGCCAAGTCTGCATCTGAGATGGTGCTGTCGGACGATAACTTCTCCACCATAGTGGCCGCCGTGGAGGAGGGCAGAGCCATCTACAACAACATGAAGCAGTTCATCAGATACCTCATCTCCTCTAACGTGGGAGAAGTAGTCTGGTGAGGAACACACACGCACGCACACACACACACACTGAGATGCTTGTCTTCACCTTCAGTCGGCTGATGCGTGTGTTTCTCCTTGCTGTCCGTCTCCAGCATCTTCCTGACAGCCATCCTGGGTCTCCCTGAGGCTTTGATTCCAGTCCAGCTGCTGTGGGTGAACCTGGTGACCGACGGCCTGCCGGCCACTGCCCTGGGCTTTAACCCCCCAGACCTGGACATCATGGACAAACCCCCCCGCAACTCCAAGGAGCCTCTCATCTCTGGCTGGCTTTTCTTCAGATATATGGCCATTGGAGGTAGCGTTAGCTCAATGTGTGATCAAGTCAGGTGTATAGACGGGTTTGCAGTCTACAATTGAGGATGGGTCGAACAAAAGTTGCAATATTTTCAGTTTTCAATATTTAGAATAAAAGGAGACCTGCTGAGACTAGTGAAATTACTTTTTAGAAGTGCCTTTTTGTACTTGGATTTTTTACACGGCACTTCCAAAACTGCTGAGATGTGGAAAACGGATGAGAGCGGCCGATTTGAATTAAGTTTCACTTTTGTTTATCAATACATCTGTTCAACAGGCACGGACATTTAAAGTATTGGACACTCCGATCATTAATAATTCAGCACTGGGCACGTTTAATACAGGGGTTTGGAACCCATCCCTACCTCTAGGTAATGGTAACGGTTCATTGGTGTTTGTCCATTCAACTCAACTGACTGGGTTGGTGGTCAAAGGTCACTTAGCTGTCTAGCTGGTGGAGGTATACAACCGTGAGGCGCTGATTCTAGTTTTTGTTTCTCCTGTAGGATATGTGGGTCTTGGAACCGTGGGTGCTGCCACGTGGTGGTACCTGTTTGATGTAGAAGGTCCACAAGTGTCTTTCTATCAGCTGGTGAGTCACAAACCGTCGCTCTGTCTGTCTTCCTTAGTTTGTCTCAGAATGCAGTTTTTAGTTTTTCTGTTATATTTTGATATGCACCCCATTCCAGCTTTCTAGAGACAGCAATGTTTGGCGATCCCAGTGGTGTACAAAAATAGAAAGGGAAGTAAGACCCATGTGATGTGATTGCACTCGGGGTGGGGGACGAAGGCCATGGTTCTGCAGCTGTTCCCCCATCAGATCTGTGCAACATCAAACCAGGTCGTAGGGGTCCCGGAGACTTCCTGCCGTCACACGCGCAGACGCTCGCGCGCACACACTCTTAATCCTGCTCCGTCTGTCTCTCTACAGAGACACTTCATGCAGTGTACCGAGGACAACCCCATGTTCCAGGGCGTGGACTGCGAGGTGTTTGAATCCCGCTACCCCACAACCATGGCCCTATCCGTGCTGGTCACCATCGAAATGTTCAACTCTCTCAACAGGTCAGTCGTCCTCTGCTGCGATGACGGGGCAAAAACTCTTTTTTTTTTTTTTTCTTTTTTTCTTTTTTTTTTAACTGCTGAATCAGTGTGGCTGTTTGTAATGCCCGTGCGTTTTATAGTCTGCTGTTGGTGAATGTGGCAGAGGAATCAGCCACACATCTTAAGAAATGGAATAATGGCTATTTAGGGAGGCAGCAAATAAAGGAAACAGTGGTATGAAGCGAAAGCTCCCAGTGTTTTTGCCAGGATTGCTCATGGAGCAAGTCGGTCACTGGCTCCCTATAGAAACGCATGGTAATGTCTCATTTAGGAAAGAATCTGAGAGAGGGAAGGTTCAAATGAAGAGCTGCCTGACCGGTGAAAATGTTATGTTAATGTCCTTCTCATTTGATCTTTGCAACGTGATGAAACAACTTCCATGTAAGTCCCTGACGTCGGGTTGAATAGTCAACATGTTTTGATCTAATCTATCTTACCGCCTGCCAGTTTGTCTGAGAACCAGTCCCTGCTCAGGATGCCTCCCTGGGTCAATATTTGGCTGCTGGGAGCAATTATCCTGTCCCTCTCCCTCCACTTCTTAATCCTCTACGTCGAGCCTCTGCCGGTAAGTGTTCATCCAGCGAGCCTGCTGTTGATCTATTTGGTGTTGCCGCTAATCACACATATCATGGTCCAGATGATAGATTCTTCGTGACAGCGTTGTGTTTCTAATGGCAAACTATACTATGAGAGAAGAGTACAGTGGCCCCTGAAAGCTCAACGCACTGCAACCTGAGAGACACACCGTATACTGAGAACACAACCAAATGCAAGTTGCACGACAACAGAAGTTTCCGGGGGTACATCCCAAGTCTCTTAGTTGCATCCCCGTTTCCCCTCACTTGCGTCCTTTCCAAGAAACCAGAAATAGTTTTTTTTAAGAGATGAGACGTTCTTCCCTCAGTTGTGCTGTTTCTGATGACTGCGGCCGCTGATCAGCTGTCAGTCGGCTTTAACAGCTGGGGAGACTTTTGAGAAGTTTGTCTGTTCACATGATCGTTGTACTTAATAATAGAAACTAATAATACTAATACCTAATAAAGACACACAGTAATCATCACTGTAGAGGTGCTTTCTCTCTGTTATGTGTCCCGTTTATAAGCGCAGAATCGATTTCTACCGGGGGAATGCGTTTGACTTATTTATGAATTATTTGCGTCTGTACGTTTTGAAATTGAGATTGTGACGTCATTCTTAATTAACCCAGAATATGATTATGGTTTCTCTTGAACACTGGAATTAATTTATTAGGCTCCATGTTTCAGGTTAAACTTAAATGTTATAACTCATCAAACCCGACACTCAGGAATGATCAGCCTCACGTGACTGAATGAAATGATGATGAATGATGTAAAAAGCTCTCTCTGACTTTAATAGTATTCATAATACAAGTTATTGAAAGAAATATCAGATCATGAAAAGACAAATCTTTCTAATAAATGAAGAAAGTTGTTTGTGGTCCTTTTGTTGTTCAGTCTACAATGAACATTTATTTAAACCAGACGGTGAATCAGAAAACTAATCAAATATAAAGCTTGAGTTTAATCTGTGATCTGTGTTCACTCTGGTATGAAACTCCAGTCGGTCAGTCCGATCAGCTGCAGCGTCCAATCACATAACTGATGAACAAGGAAGGGCCGTGTCGGCCGTTCAAACACTTCCCGGAAGGCTGTTCTCGTGCGTCCTCGCTCATGGCTCCTCGGAGATCCCTCCTCGATCATCGCTCGTCCCAGAAATAAGAGCTTTGGGACGGCCGTCAATATGGCGGCGCAGAACAACTTCCGGTTCAATTGAGGAGCGAGGAAATGACAAATAATAGACTTGGGATGTACCCCAGGTGTCACCAAGTATGGCGGGCATGTCCGTCCCTTTTTAGTGTCCCCTGAAATCTGTTGTTTCTAAATGCTGCACGTGTTTTCTTCACTTGCTTGTTTGTTTTCATTATGGAATACTTGACTAAATGAATGACCATGTGGATATCAATTACTCACCCCATGTTGCCTTGAATTGTTTTTCTCTCATACGTATCTCACCATACAGTGAATGAGATTACACGATCACAGAATAGGATTGTGAACCTATGTTTTAATATAGTTTTGCTTTTGTTAGATGTCATTAACTCTAATTGATTGAGTTTTTTTTTTTAAACCGTTTTTGGATTCTTTGTTCACTGTGAAGGCATGAGAGAAAAACATTTTCTTCAAGGTAGCACAGACTGAGCATCTGTTGTACAAAAGGTTCTTTTGTGGGTGAAGTACTCCTTCTAGTTGCATTGCGTTTGAACCATCAGGGCCATGAGAGAGCAAAGGCTTCATTGCATTTCATTGTCCAGCATCTGATGCATTGATGACAGAGTTTCTGACAGTTATTTCCTCTGCCCTTCAGTTGATCTTCCAGGTGACCCCACTGCACTGGTACCAGTGGATCGTGGTCCTGAAGATTTCCTTCCCAGTCATCCTCCTGGATGAGGCACTGAAATACATCTCCAGGAACCATCTAGAAGGTATGTGGAGCCTCTTTGGTCCACTTCAACCCACAGAAATGTGTGTGTGGAATGAGTCTGAAATGTAAAGTCAGTGAATGTTGTGATGATCTGATTTTGAATGACGAGTCTCTCTCTGATCTTTTTTTCTCTCCTGCATTTCTAATTCAGCCTAAGCTCTTTTTATCTCACCTTCTGTGAAAAGGTACTCTATTTCCAACCTCTTCATGCCTCCTTCCCTCTCCTTTTAGAAAGAGCTACAGACTGATCTCTCTTTTTACTACGTCTTCTAAATGATGTTTGTTTTTAAATCCCCGGCAGGTGATGAGGAGAAGAAATACCGGAGGAGGTGGCAGCAGCTGAACTAAGACCTCTCCCTCAACACACTCGCACACTTAGACACACGCCTACCCTCTTCCCTTTTAGGAGCTAGAAACCTGTCCTCATTCCCAACTCCTGCATGTCCCCAAAAAAAAAATAATTACACCACTAGCAATGAGCAGGGCTCGCATGAGAGCAGGTGCGCAAGAAAGAGTCTCGTGTGTGTGTGTGTGTGTGTGTGTGTGTGTGTGTGTGTGTGTGTGTGTGTGTGTGTGTGTGTGTGTGTGTGTGTGTGTGTGTGTGTGTGTGTGTGTGTGTGTGTGTGTGTGTGTGTGTGTGTGTGTGTGTGTGTGTGTGTGTGTGTGTGTGTGTGTGTGTGTACAGATGCAGGCCTGTCTTTATAGTTGTGAGAAAAATCTGCAGAGAAGAAGGAAGAAAAAAAAAAGAAGATAAAACTGCCCAGGGCTCTTGCATTTTCTTCTTTTTTTTCTTTTTAAAGATTTCTGCTCATTGTTTTTTTGGCTGTACAGTACAAAGGAGAGGGGGGAGGGGAGAGGGAGGGAAATTAGGAATTAACACAGAGACCAAAAGAGAGATTGAGAGGCCTGTCGTGGAGAAGAGATCGGTGTCCACACCTGCAGAGGAAGAGCGTCAGCAGGAATGTGGAAGGTGAAAACTAGTTGTTGTTTTGTTTTTTTCCCCACCCGAGTGTGCGTCCACACAAACATTACGTCTGAGGTACCGCCCAGGCTTCTGCCACCCACACCACTACCGGCAGTGACTTCCAGTCTAGCTCCGCCTTATCGGCACAACAAAATTGTAACTATGGCCAGTTTGTCACAGCGCTGCTCCTTCGTGGCCCCTCGTCTTCACTCTCCCCTTGATCGCGTTTTTATTCCTGTCTTGCTCTCTTCCTCTCCGTCTCTCTTTTCGAAAACGTAATCAGGCTCCCGAGTTGGAGATGTCGCTCCGCCTAAAGGTGTGAATAGCTTTACGCTGCTTGGCCGCTTCCTTCGCCTCTTGCATTCGAGGAGCTGAGGTCAGCTCACTGACTTGGCAAACATATAAATAAATATGTCAAACAGCAACCGAACCAGCATATCAGTAGTCGTCAGCCAGTCCACCCAGCTGGTCCTGTTTAGCCTCACTTTAACAGCCATCTGCTGTCAAACTTTAGCTGTCAAACATCTAAACTAAAGGCAGATCGGGGCAGGAAGATGACGCTCTATGACATTTTGTACATAATAATTGTCTTGGAGCCTCGCGTTGTTGATCTACCCTTTTTAATTGAATCAGTTATTCCATTGTGTGTGTGTGTGTGTGTGTGTGTGTGTGTGTGTGTGTGTGTGTGTGTGTGTGTGTGTGTGTGTGTGTGTGTGTGTGCGCATATAGCCTTACTGGAATTCGGACTTGATAGTCGACAAATCGCACAGATGATGTAGGTAAAGTAAGTGATGGCAAGTAAACGGCTCGACTCTGTCGGTCTCACTTGGTCATGAATCATTGCTACGTTGAGCACATTCCGCGTCCATGCCTGATACAGCCCACTGCACCTCCACATTGAATATGTGGTCGACATGAATGTGTTTCTGCGAGCCCCCAACCGCCGCTACTCCCTCATATGTGGCCCAACAGTGAGATCCTTGGTTCAAGGCCTAAAAGTTTCTGAATGACCCCCTGGTCTGAGGCATGTTTAATTGGAAAGCTTTTTTTTTTTTTTTTTTTTTTTTTTTTTTTTTTTTTTTTTTTTATTTTTTGTTGTGCTTCGCGTGCCGCTCCCTCAGCTCCTCCTGCTCTCTCAGTGCTTCAGCGACTCACTTTGGTATTGTTTTATAACGACTAAATAGTAATGTATTTGACTGAATGAATGCGCGCAGTTTGGATTGTGTCTTTAAGTCTTAATCATGGGTTTATGTGTTGGGTCCCTGGGGCTCTGCGGACTGGGTTCAGTGGTGCCTTTGGTCTCTCGTTGCGTCCATATGGGACAGAGGAGAGTGTGCACATTCAAACAAAAATAATCCTGCTGGGTCAAAAACAGTTGAAAGGAATTTGATAACGCCACGACATCTTGACACAATGTGCAGATCTTTCTTCCTTTTCTTGCCTTCGCACCAGTGTGACATAGAAGAGCATGGTTTAGAATCTTAAAGGAAAATCCATCATTCAACACTTCCAAAATTAACGACCAATCTGCTACTGCTCACAAGACTGTATGTAGTTGTATTCATCTATTTTGTTGCCTGGTGATATTTAATTTCTTACTCCAGAGGATAACTAGCCAAACCTTAGATGGCGTGACATCATCGAGTGCAGATATTTCCAGTTCGACATGCTCTCTGGAGCCATTCTTGGAAATGTACGGTAGGAAATCACTCGCTTAAAAGGGACATATCATGAACAACTCTCTCGGTGCTTGTGCACACACATTTGGGTATCCGGAGTGTCTGCCAACACACAAGCTGTGAAATAAAATAGTTTTTTGTGGACTGTGTAGATCAGAAGACATGTGATTCAACAAGCCATTCCCATGTCACATGCAGGCACGTTACAATGTATCCGAGTATCTCCATCCACGGCTTGACAACTATACCTTTGCAAAGATGTGCCATATTTTTTTCGCAAGCCAATCAGAGCAGACTGGGCTTTGTTTGGGAGGGCGTTCTTAAAGAGACAGTCGCTGAAACGGAGCGTTTAAGTCTAAGGGTGAATGCAGCTATATTCAGGTGGACAGTATGACAAAAATGTGTTGTTTTTTTTTAACATTAAAGCACATAAACATGTTCTGGCAGAAGACTGAAATACAAATATGAACTTGGAAATGAACATGATATGTCCCCTTTAAGTAGAAGTTGACCAAGCCAATTGAGAGAAAGTACCCTATAAAGACATCACCAGATTGAAAAACACTCCTGATGAAAATGTGAGCAGATTTAAGGGTGGAATATTCCTTCTAATTGTATTCCAGAAGCTGGATTTTGTCTGTAATTCATGGCTTTTTGTTTCACCACCATGTGAATGTGGCACCTCTGTCCAGACCACTTGTCCCTGTCCGAGGTCTCCATGGCTCTGTAACATGTTGGCACTCTGGCCACCGGGCACTATAGGTCTGTATAGCCTTGTTATTTACTACTGAATCCTCAACTCTGTACAGAAGATGAGAATATGATCGCATGGCACCTTGTTACTGTAATAATAACCTATACAGAATATAATGTTTTTTTTTGATAACTTACATCAATGGAACTTACTTACCAACAACACACAGACCTGCGAGAAACCATTTTTTTATTTTTCTTTGAGCACATGGTATCTAAGGATCTCCTTTTACTTGTTATTGTTTTATAGAATAGAGGTTGTTTCTTCATTTTTCCCCCATTTGGTTTTTACAGTTGCTGGGGTTTTGTGTCTTTTACTGTAGGGGAAAAAAGAATATGACGTTATCGTGTTTAAGATAGACAAGAATCATGCTTACGCTAATTAATGACTATGACGCTGATCATGTCAGTGATGGTTATCCGGTGCGAGAATGTTCACGAATTTGTGAATGAACTGTGTCTGGTTTACACTGAGCGATAAGCAGTGATGGATTATGAAGTTTTATGACTGTACATTGAAGGGCTTGGTGTGGATGCAGGCTCTGGAGATCCCCGACAATCCGTTTGGGTCTCACGGCTCCTCTAGAATGGCACTTGAAGTCCTCCACCATCTGTTAAAGAACAACCACCTTTACTGACCGTGAACAAGTGATCAGCCTCATATGAATAACATCTTTTTCTGTCTGTATAGGCAAGTAAACGGTCTCTAGAGCATGAGTTCACCTCTGAGGAATAAAGGATTCTCTGTATTGCCTTGTTAATATTGATTGTGGACACATAATTTTATAAATGACAAAGATGTGGAAATAAAGATAATTTATCTTGTTATTTATTCAGAGGTTGTGTTCTTTTTTTATTTACTGTATTAAATCTGAGAATATGAAACTTCTTTATACCAAAGGAATGGTACCGAAAAGTGTTTTTCTCACGAGAGCACAAAGATTTAGTAAGTTCCATTTATTTTGATGCCGTGTTCTTAACAAAGAGCCCAGTTTTAAGAATAGGTCGTACGGACACGAGAGCGGTTTGCTTTTGCAAAACGGCAAGCACATGCTGCAACTCCAAAAGGTGTTGCAACTATGCATGATGAGTGTATAGATCCCAACACTGTGTACAGGTGCTGGATCAGAAAACAAACTGAAGACTTAAGATCTGTGCACTGCACTGATAGATCCCAGACAATTACACTCAACAGGGCAATGTTTCTATGCAACTGGGCTCTCCATCAGGCTTTAGCAATAATCATTGCAAAGAAGAGCAAGACAGACGCATCACTCAGGAGGTTGTTCTGCACATCTGTGGCAAAGAATATAGAAAACAAATTTACATTATTATCTACAAGAACATATGAAATCCTTTGAATTGATCCAGTAGAATGGGCTAGAAACTAGCACGGAGAAGAAAAAGAATGGATCAATGGAACGTAATATACTACCTCTCCAAAAGAGTTTAAAGTGCAAACTAGCAATGCGCTGACATTTATTTTAATTCAAAACTGGTCATACAATAAGCAAAATAACATACAGGTATTTAATGGGAAAATACAACAAAAACTCTATAATTAAGATCCCAGACATCTCAATCACATCGTCACCTCAGACCTGCAAACATTAGGTGGTGATGAACAGAACTGTATATAATGAGAACAAATGTGTAATGCTTTCTGCTCCATGTGCTTCTCTTTCATTAGCATCACACCACACCAGCTGTGATACTCCGACATCTCCAATAAGTGGAGCTGGGTTTGTCTCGACTTAACTTTATGACAACAAACGTTAAGAATTTGCATTGGTGAGCTCATACTGACAGCAGTCCCCACATCATACTACAGTAATAATAAAACCACTGTGTACATAAGAACACATTAAATATGACCTAAAAACGATATACTGTACCTTTAAATCCCAAGAGGTTTGCAAATCAGAAGTCAAATAACCTAAACAAGGTCAAATGTGCAAAACATCAGAGATAATTACTGAGAAACTGAAGACAAACTAGTGCCAGTCAAGAATGAAAACGCCTCAGGGAATGTACTTGTTTTAAACGGATTTAATATGACTCATCTGATCGCGTTACTAACTCACCAGAAAAATAACAGTGTGGGCACTGATGCTTTTGAACCAGCAGGGGGGGATGTTACGCCACCTGTCCTGTGTGTATGAAGCTGTAAGGTCATGTAAGGATGTAACCCATCCTCCTCAAGATGAAGGGGTGGGAACTGGTTTTGTTGTGTAACGAGCCTGGAGGTGCTTCGTCACGGTTTCCCTCAGATCTCTCACATGCGAGAGTGACACACACACACCCTCTCCGGGGGAAGTTCCTGGAGAGAAGCTGGGAATCCCGAGAGCTGCAGGAGAAGTGGAAGAGGATCTCATTAGTACGAGCCCGATAGTTTCCACCCTGAGAGGGATGCAGGATGGAGGGAAGTCAGCAGGGGTCGAGTCCCAGTGAAACACACACACACACGTGGCTGCTGAGAAAACACAATGATGAAGAGATGAAGGTGTTGGGATAGAGTAGGGTTGTTGTCTTTTTTGCCTACTCTTGCCTGAAATATTAGGATGCAGAGCGTCCTGTGATTGCATTGGGTGCTCTGCTAAAGTCACAGCAACACATCAGGACAGTGGAAGCATGGAAAGTCCCTCCTGTGTTGAGGGTTATTCGTGGATGAGTACTTCTTTCTATATTTATACTAAGGTGAAAGACAGAGATGAATTGATGAAACACAACAAAACACCTTAACGCTCCCGGTCTTTGTGCAGGTTAAAAATGACACACACACGCACACAACTTTGCTTTTCTGATTATTGATGATGAATTGTTTACCTTTGTAAAAGACACGTTGAAAATAAGCTATCACTAAAATCGTCACTGCTGTCAAACCAGAATAAAGCTCTGACACAAAGCAGGAGTCCCAGGTCTTAGCCAATGATCTTGCTCATGCACTATAGACGTGCATTAGACTAGGCCTTGTACGCACACAGTGTGTCGGCTGGATTACACTTAGGCTCACGCTGTGCAGCGGGCTCTGTGAGGACACACGTGGAAAAGTGCCTTGAGACAGAAAAGTTTGGAAAAATACTTGAAATTTTGGGGGTGTTTGTGCTGCGAGGGAGGACACCCTGCCCCCTTATCCCGCAGTGTCAGCCAGCATTGTTCCGTGACGCTGAAGCTGTTGCCAAGACACTGAGTAAACTTGAAATGGATTTCTCCCACGGCTGCTTGAGGGAAGGGAAACTTACAGAGGCCGCAACCTACTAGAACCACTGTCTCGTGTGCTATGCAGTATTTACAGCGACTGCAGGTTAAAGCCATTTGTGAATGTACATTTACTCAAGTACTGTATGATGTACTTGTATACTAATTTATACTTCCATATACATGCAGTGCAGTTAGTTACTTTACAAGTAAAAATACTTTACATACAAAACATACAGTATGAAGATCTTATGAAATAAGATGATTTGTTATAGATTATACTACTCAACAGTATATCTAGTTAGTTGTTTGTCAATTAATCAATTAGAAGATGTATTGGCAACTATTTTGATATGATCTTTTATGCAAAAATACCAGACGTTTGAAGGTTCCTTCTCAAGCGCAAGGATTTGCTGCGTTTCTTTGTAATTATTATCATTATCATTATTATTATTATTACTATGTTTTTACTTTTCTGAAGTTTTACAATGCAAAAGTATCACACAATTAATTTAACGATTTATATATATAAAATAGCTCAAAAATTCCATTATACTTTAAGATACAAACCAATAAAAAAAATGCACAAAAAAAAGATAACATTGATAAAAAAGTTAGCTCCACTTAATCCAGATACAACACAAACTTACTTACTTTTGGTTCAGTAACATTTTCACTGTAGGCATCTTACTTGTAACAGAGTGTTTTTACGGCGTGGTATTGGTACTTTTACTTCAGTAAAAGGTCTGAATACTTCCTCCTCCACTGGTTAAAGTCTACAGCCTGCTCATGAACAAATACATTGTGTTAGTTAGATTATTCAAAATCATGCTGTTATCGTGAGAAGATATCAACGTTTCTCTGTTACAAACTCAATGAACACACAGTGAGAGTATTCAGAAGGGGGATGGCAGTTTTGGGGGATTAGAGGAAGAGATAAGGATTATGAAAAGCATTTTATTTAAAGAGACCGAATCATGTGGACACTGGCCTAGAAACGTTAGCCTGAGTTAGTCTACTATGGACATTCAGTCCACCCTCCAGTATAGTGTTCCTGTTTTCACCGCATGTCACAATCATCAGTTATACATGCTGTAGAGAATGTGTCTCATGTGAAAACTTGAGAACACTCAGTAAAGGATGTTGTATGTTCAGAAATAGTGTCATTGAAGTGGTCAACTATGCAGATCCATATCCGTAGCAGACAATATTAACCGGTCTGAACCACTTGCTTGTGTGGAGTACTATTGAATATGAATAGTGGGGAGAACTGTGTCTGTCTGGACTTTAGCTTCAAAATGCCAAAACCTGTCAGGGAGACTCTATGCAACAGGAGACTGCAGTAAATATTTACATTGTAAATTCCCACAAGGCCGACATGTTTCATATTCATATCTGGATATCTGGACTCAAGATGTTCCTGGGTGATCAATAAAGCTTTAGCCCCCCTTCTCTCAATAGTGTAAGTTAACGGTCACTTCACCTGGACGTGTCACTGTCCAAAATGATGTATGTGCAGTGGTGTTAAGTGACCAGTGTAGGTCCCAGTGCACGCTATAGTTACTAGTTATGAAGCACATGATCAAATAGAGATTTGCCATTGCATATCTGTAAATGACAAAAGTACAAAAAAATAAATGATTCATTTAATTTAATATTTTTAAATTGTTTATTTATAGTTTTTTTTGTAGTTTATGTGAAAATACATATTTATATTTTTTTTATCGCTACTGACTATTTTACCCTACACCCCCCAAAAACAACAAAAAAACAATATGATGGAGATGTGTTTGCCTTTTTATAAGGAAATATTACAAATGGCACTGCTTTTTATTTCATGAGAATTCTTGTTTGAACACAAGCTATAAAGTAACCATGAAACGCATCTGTCTACACTTCTGATTATGTGCTGACTTTAAGTTCAACGCTGTTATCACATTCATCTGTTTCTCTTTACTCACCTTGTGAGTGTGAACGTCCAAAATTAAACTTACATACAATGGTTACATACTGTATATTATTACATTATTATATTGTGGAAAAATGAAACTCCCAGAGGGAAAATAGACTGTGATTTTAAGAATTTTGAACTACTTAAATGAATTGTAAGACACAAATCATTATTCTCTATGTACAAAATAAACCCTTCATACAAAATGACATCTATTTGTAACGAGGACTTACGACCTAAAAGCATGAAGGACGATTGAAAAATAGAATAGTCCTCTCTGAGACATCTGTAATTCAACTTTAAATAGGCAGTGTATGTATACTCTCTATTTGTATATCATGCTTAACGAGTCTCGTACATAGAAGAATACCATCAACGTGATTATTTCTCTTATATCTCAATCTCCATTATCTGTCGCTCCGCTCAGCCGCTCAGTAGCTCTGAGGTGTAAATGTATGAGAAGGTGAGGTGCAGGAAAATATCCCTTTGAGGGAAATAACAGGTTCATCTTCTGCTAAGGTAATTGCGATGGCCACAGTTGATGAATTTATTGCCTAACATGTTCAGCCGGCTACAGTGCAGCCAGTAATTACACCGTTACCCTCTGCAGTCACAGATGACCGTTCTGCTTATCTTCACTAATTACTGAGACGTTCACTTGAATTGTCTCAATCGGGAGATGAGAGAAACACGGCCAGCAGGGGCGCTATTTGCACTTTTGCTTTCATTAAATCCACTGTTGTTGAATCCGATGTCTGATAGAGGAGCGGTGTTGGTACCACGTGTGGTGCCCGTAGTAATGAAGAGTGGTCGTATTTTGTCTATGTGTGATGCTGTATTTTATCATTTAAATTAAAAATGTTTAAATAGAGCAGTGAATAATGGCACGGTGTGCCGCGGGAACAGGGCGGGTCTTAGGACCCGTGGATTCATTTCTTGTCGAATAATAAAAGTTGGGGTTATCCGTGTGCTCTCGACGTGCTTCAATGCAGTCTCAAAGTGTGCGCGTGCGTATGTGCGCGCGCGCGTTTGTGTGTGTGACCAGCCCCCTTCTTCTCCTGCAGGGTGCACATTGCAGTGGTGCAACTACAGCCAGCTGTGCGGGCGGTGTGCAAACATTCAGCCGCTGGGTTCACTCTGCGGCTTCACAGCAGACCAGAGGCGGGTAGTATCGGCTGGTCCGTCCGTGTTTTTCCCGGAAGAGAGGGGTGTGCCACATGGGACACATCTCAGGTCAGCAGCTGATTCCTGCCGCACTTCTCACGCAGAAGCCCTGCACGGACGCCTCACCCCGCGAGCCCGTGCTGATAATCGGCTGTGAGTGAAGTGGATCAAAGAGGCGCCGCGCGTCCGAACCGGGACGTCCCTTCTGGATCCCTCTTGACTGGAACCGCCGCTTCCGAGGGGCTCAACCACGGGTGAGTGAAACTTTAAAGATCGTCTCATCTCAAGTGCATCGCTGTTGTTAGTCATGGTTCGCAATGGGGGGGGGTATAGCTCTGCTCGTGCAATGCAGATGGAGCTCACCGCACGTGTTTCATCGCCGTGGTTTATTGTTGTTCAGTGAATCGCTCATCGGAGGACACATAAGGACATATGGACTCTTCTGCAGTTGCACTGGAATTTTTTTTTTTTAATCACTTTACACACGCGCGCGGGCACGCACTTTGGACCGTGAAATTGTACGCTGCACTGAAATGCACGCCGATAATGTGACATTACTCTGTCATTTACCTGTGCTGAGCTGCTGTATCCTCACACCCCGTTGTGCTTTACAAACTGGGGACCCGGGGTCCCTCCAGGGACCTCTTGAGGCGAACAAAGTGGTCACCTATGATGTCTTCTAGTTTCTAGGAATTAGTCCAGTGACAGACAGGGAGTTGCTTTGATCACAGTTTTCCCTTTCTGGCCCATTGGCCTATTCATGGGAGCCTGTGTATATATTTTTTATTTATAATCTTATTGCAATAAACTCATGAATTAGTACATCCACAGAATGTTCAAACTGTATTTGCAATTATTACTATTGTTGTTGTACTTTATACACTCAGTAATGCAAACAAAACAATAAAAAAAGATTAAAATAACAAAATATATATATTTCATAGTCATGTTTGTACACATACATAAACACGTATGAGAACAAATATCTATATGTGCATACATTTATTGCTTGCGTCCTGATATACCTACATTCACATTTATATATGAACTAAAAGGGTTGTTAATAAAGATAACCGGACAATACTGTTACAATACCAATAATTCAGTTTCTGATATTGTAAATTGGACATCTTTTGGGTTAGAAGAACAAAATAAGCTATTGAAATATGTCCTCTTTGAAGAAATGAGCATTATTCAATATGTTCAACATTTTGGTGACACAATGATTAAACATTTGAAATAAAAGCTGACATCTGTAATAATTAGAATAGGGGTTTGTTGCAGCATGTTTAGGGAGCCCTGGTGTAAGGTTACCTGTCGGTATGATTGTGCTAATAACTGTATAGTTGGTGTTTTGATACGGTCTATTTTGTGAAATCCTGTGATAGCAGAAAATCACTCAGGGTTTCTCTGTTCTAAGGCCCCCGAAAGAATGGAAGATGGTTTCACCGCTCTGAAGTGACTTTGTGTCTAATTTAAACGAGCGATGGCTTCATTGTGTCGGCCTCAAGTGGTGCTCATTTTAGCCTGTTCACAAGTCGTTTATTCCCTCATTCATGAGGCACGGGGCTGAATTGTTTCCTTTGAATTTACTTGAAGGATGACTTCAAAATGAATCGACTCTCCAGCGCTGCACCTTTTTTTTGTTAAATTTTCTTTTGAAAAAACATCAAGTACATGAACGGCATGCGGCGAATAACTGCCTGCTTTTGTTCTCAAGCATCGAGTCTGTGTAGTGTCCGCTCTGCGTGGAGAAAAGCATTTTCACTGTCTTCTTCACCGGCGGTATTTACAATTTGGGTTTTGCTGAATGTGCTGGAGACTGTGTGTGTGTGTGTGTTATTGCTGAGCAGTTCAACTTCCCCTCTTGTGCATTCACATCATGTTTTGTATGCAACTTTATTAGCCCTAAATGCCAGGAAAGCAGAAAAGGGACTGCGGCACACTGTATGACGGGCTTGTGTCGGGACTTCGAGTGAGATTAAATGCTTTTCCAATCCTTGCAACCCAGCATCATGTTGCTGCTTGGCATTTGGTCCTGTTGTACCAGGGCAATTGTTGAATCTTGCAGCAAAATTGTGGTTTGTCCGGTTATGTGTATGGAACATACCATAAAAAACAAACAACAAAATGTTCCTAGAAATTTTAGTCTTTTGATGGAGAAGGGGCAATCTGACTGAACGTGTGCTGTCTCGAGTCATTTTGACTCGTGTTTGCATCTCTACTGGTTTGCATGGTGTTAATTAGCCACTCCAGCATCACTTCTGCCTCTCTTGTCCACTTTTTTTTCTCTTGTTGCTGAGTGTACTGACAGCTGGTAACTCTTCTTCACGTGGGCCTTTGGTAATCATCCCGGAGCTGGGACCCAGCTCCTGGAAAAAGAGGACACGTGAGCAGCTCGCGGCTCCTTCAGCCCCTCTGGGAAATCACTTGAATGAGGCAAGGGATGCAAATCAGCATTGTGTGTGTGTGTGTGTGTGTGTGTGTGTGTGTGTGTATCCTTGTGTGAATGTGTGCAGGTTTATGTGTTCTTACTAGAGTCTTCAATAAATGTCATGAAACGTTTAACACCGAGGCCTGGACGTCATCCACCCATGTTATGTCAGGTAGCTCGTCTGCTCCTCGACTGGTCTGTGGTTGGTGAACACTGCTGTGCCGTGCTGCTTCTCTTATTGCAACAGTTTGTCTATCTCCGCTCCTTATACCAATTGGTCGTGATCACTAAATCACTGTAGAGCTACGTATAATCTGCAGGAAGTGCTTTTCTTTTATATAGCCAAACCAAAACACCCTTATATTTGTTCAGTGTGTAATTTCTGGATGTATCCCCCAAGTGATCGTCATCAGTGGGCTGTGTGTGTGTTGTGTGTTGTGTGCTTAGCCATGAATACAAATGGCCAAGCACTCAGAATGGATGGAAATTGAAATCAGAGCATGGCCTTGACCAAGAGAGGTGACGCATTAGAAGGGTTTGATGCTTTGACATACATCCATTAAAAGTATGACTGTACTAAAAGGCAGCCTAGGATTATTTCAAAGTAAACATAAAGTCAGTTTCATTTTTCTTTTGTTTTTGGAGACACCAAGCTTAAAGGTTCTCTATACTATATTCAGAGCATTAAATTCAGCAGCAAATACCTTTTGTTTACGTAAAGATATAGTGGAGTAATATCTACCTGAGCAGAATGAAGTCACTATCCCTCTGTGGTGTTATAAGAGCTTCTCTGTTCCTTATTGACATAGCTTGGCCGGCTGCGCTTGCCTTTTGGTGCTTGTGAGCGTGCCCCATTGGCTAGCTCACTGCCGCTCATGCGGAGGGTATACAGTTGATAACGCCGTTCCGATCAACGGCATCCTCGCAGAAGCGTAGCACCTAACCTCCTGTTCCCCCCTCAGGCAAAACACTGTTAGCGTTATTTGCTCTGTTAGCGTTATTTGCTCTGTTAGCGTTATTTGCACTGTTAGCGTTATTTGCACTGTTAGCGATATTTGCACTGTTAGCGTTATTTGCTCCGATAGCGATATTTGCACTGTTGGCGTTATTTGCACTGTTGGCGTTATTTGCACTGTTGGCGTTATTTGCACTGTTGGCGATATTTGCACTGTTAGCGTTATTTGCTCTGTTGGCGTTATTTGCTCTGTTAGCGATATTTGCTCAGTTAGCGATATTTGCTCTGATAGCGTTATTTGCTCTGATAGCGTTATTTGCTCTGTTAGCAATATTTGCTCTGATAGCGTTATTTGTTCTGATAGCGTTATTTGCACTGATAGCGTTATTTGCTCTGTTAGCATTATTTGCACTGATAGCATTGTTTGCACCATTAGCTGTGAGCCACCAGCTCAGCCTTCACCATGTTGAGAGCTGTGAGGAGGTAATAGATATCCCATGATTTTCATATTGAGCACCTTTTAATGAGACATTTAGATATAGAAACATTTGCAGGAAAGCGGTGTAATCACTTTAACCGAGTAGTTCCCCTCAGAGATGTATGATAACTTGTAATATGTCACTGAACTGTTTTTTCCAGACTCAAGTGTTAAGGCGCTCAACCTCGTGGAATCCACAGTGATGAGCTCTTTATTTGATGTCTGACAGACTTTCATATCACAGCTGTGGGAGTTTCTGTTACTAAGCTGGTACTCTCAGCACTGCGGCCGCCACCTCCTCTGTGCTGTCAGCCTTCAATCCCTTGAAGTTCTCCAGGTGTGCTTGTGGAATCGTTCGAGAGTGATCTTTCACGACGCTTTAACACAAAGTTAACAGTAATACAGGCAAGCTTTTCACCTGTGTTGTGGGGACTGGTAGAAAGCAGGTTCAGAATAATGTGTAATGCATGTCATTATTTGGGAAAGGGTGTTTATCTTCCATTTAGTTTTTGTGTATTAGAGAATCAATTGATGCCCCATTTGAGTGAGCTAAAGCACCTTATGTTTTGTAGCATATTTTCAAATCAGTCTTCATCATCTCAATCCAGTCCTTGAGATGTGTCCCTGCCCTGTGATCTTGTTACAGGAACACTCTATTACTGATATTTAAAAAATGTTACACGGTGAGTTTACTTGTTATGTCTTGTTACTGCTACTCATCCTGCAAAAACTGTTGTAGAATAACGTCTGTGGCTCTGGGAGGAGCTTTCCAATGTCTGAGAAAATCACCCTGATGACTTTGTGACTTAGTGATGTCACCCAGCTTATCACAGCTTGGACTTGGAGACAACAAATGCATAATAGAAAGCCTGAATTATGAACTGGCGGTGTCGACTTTGAAAGACGTAAAGAAGTTTACCCATCTCAACACCCAAAAAAATAATTATCCAAGTGCATTATGGGAAATGTAGGGCCTAGTGTTTTGGGTTCTTCACCCATACTATGGAATAAAAAGTCTGGGAACCTTGGCTTCTGCTCCATGAATTTTGTGTGGTGATGTCGGTCGGCCAGTCCACCACTTTGGTCGAGACTAAAATAAGTATTGGATGAATTGACATGTTCAGACACATTGTCCTGTGTATCAGTCTTGCCTCCTCAGGTATCATTGTTGCAGCTATTCTGTACTTGGGGAAAGAAACCGTGTAACAGGAAATTAAAATAAGACATGGCTTTTTTTTTTTATTGTGGTAACATCAGAAAGCAACTGTCCAGAAGGAGCAGATTATGTAAATAAACTAAGCCGACACAGGCCAGAGACTGCCCACTACTTTTTGTCTGTATATGTTACTGCAGCACTAGTCTTAATAATTTCCCCTAACATTTGGCA